TCAGACACACCTTAGTCCTAAAACTGACATTATTACTCCTCAATAATTTGGAAAGGTCCCTAACTGCTAATTTTCCCAGTGCAATGTATCTCCTTACTTTCTGACTGCTGGTACCAAGGGTGTTAATTGTGGATCCAAGCAAGATGAAGCTGTTGACAGTTTTAATCTCCACTCCATCCATCATGATGTTGCCTATTGGTCCAGTGGCAAGAATCTTTGTTTTCTTGACATTAACATGCAATCCATACTGAAAGCTGCATTTCTTGATCTTCTGCAGCAAGTGCTCCAAGTCCTCTTCACTTTCAGCAAGTATCATCTGCATAACGCAGGTTATTGATGAGTCTCCCTCCGATTCTGACGCCACACTCCTCTTCAGAGCGTCCCGCTTCTTGGGTAATTTGCTCAGCATACAGATTAAACAGGTGTGGAGAGAACACAACCCTGGCACACTCCCTTTTTAATTTCATTTTTTTTCTATAATTATATTTTATTAATTTTCATAAACATTTACAGAGATTTTGGGTTTCCATTCATTCATTGTTGCACTATTCTCTCTACCCTCCTCCCAGTTTGTTCTTGTCCAAATGCCACAGTGCTTGTCAAAGCCAGTTCTGATTAATCTTCTTTGTCAGTGTGTCCTTTGCCATTCCCTATCACTCCTCCCTGAGAGAGACTTCACCCTGAGTCATAAGGAAAAGGGGACGGCGTATTCTCTTAGCTACTTCCTGCTGAAAAGGGACGCTGTGGGTTTCAGGATGAAGATCTTCTCTCACTACTCTAAAGGGCCCCTTTGGCAGTAGGAAACACATAGACTATTATGGAGATTGATTTTGGAATTTAGATGCACTCTTATTGATTGTGCTTGGCTGTACATGTTCATATCCTTGAAGATGTATCATGGGGGTGTTGCAACCTAGAAGACACAAATTTGACTAACAAGTTATAAGTACATGAGTCCAAAAATTATGGAAAAGTAAAAGAAAAGATTCTTTCATTGTTTTACAAACCCTCCCCCAGGTCCCCTCCACCATGTAGCCCTCGCTCTAGTCTCCTGTGATGACAGAAATATCCCTTTTTAATTTTAAATTTTAAGCATGAGCCCTTACAGGATCCAATCTCATCACAGAGGGAGCACAGGTCATTCTTGAGGGCTCACCACAAAAGCCCACCCCCAACTCGCTTCCTCATTGCCTTGAAGTCAGAACCAATTCACAAGCTGACCCTCATCGTATTTTTTTTTAAATTTTATACTAGTTCATTTACACAATTCCAATACATTGTTTCCTCATTGCATCTTTGAGGCTGCAAATCCCATGAGAGGAGATTGCCCAGCTCTCCTCTGCAGCCGCTAGTGGATTCGAACTGCCAAACTAGTGAGGCCTTCAAGTTAGCAGCTCCCTTATGGACGATGGCACCAGATGCCAGTGCCAAGTAAAAAGTTCTTAAGAGGAGAGCTGAGTGGAGAAGCAGGCTGGAGCAGAAGAGGTGGTGGCCCTAGAGATCAAAGAGCCGCACTGTCTCACAGGTGCAGCCGGGAAGATGCCAAGTTCCTTCCACGGTCACCAGCAGGGGCAGGGCTGGGACCGGAGCCCAGGCTTGTCTGAGTCCCTGCCGATGCCACACATAGCTCACCACTCTGCTCACCTCACCAGATGAATCCAAAGGCGAACAGACCTCCGCCCCCACCAGACACCACCAGGCACCACCAGGCACCACCAGGCACCACCAGGCTGCACCTTTGAAGGATTTGGAGAGCAGGAGTGGCTTGGAAGGCAGCGGGACAAGTTTGAGAGTGGATTTTAGATCCATCTGCCTGCTGTGAGCCCTTTCCAGCCAGGAACCAAAGGGCCAAACAACAGGCAGCATGAAGGCGAAGATAAAGGAAGCCGAGAGCTGCTCCTGCCCTGTGCTCAGTTCCCATACCTGTATCTTCTTGTGGGAGGGGGGTCTTAGAACTCCTCCAGCAGCCACCGCCCTAGCCTGACCCCACCATCAACCTTGAAACCCCTTTTGCGGGAGGAACAAAAGGGCAACCAGGTGCAACACTTCTGAAAAGTCACTTTATAAAAGCATCCCACCCTGAATACAAGCCCAACTGTCCTCAGAGTACTTTTTAAAAGAGGATTCCTCGTGCATCAAACTAAACCCACCTAACAGAGTTGAATCCCACTCCTAGCAACCCCCGGGAGCTCGGGTGGCTTTGTGGTAAGGAAATGCACAGCTAACCCAAAGATACAGATTGACTCCACCAGCTGCTCCACCAGAGAAAAATGGACAGAGAAAAATGGACAATTTCCTCCCGTGAGACTTTTTGTTAGGTGCTGTAAAGTGTGTGACGCTATGAACAACAGATCTGAATCCTGTGCTGGCTTGTGCCATCCTCAGCATCTCTGAAACACCTGGGTCCATTGCTGCAGTCACTGAGTCAACCCACTTCATTCCCCTCTCTTGCTGACCCTCCACCTTTCCAAGCATGATGTCCCTTTCCAAGGAAGAGCCCCTCCTAGCAACATGTATGACAGATGAAGTTTCGACATCCTTGCTTCCAAGCACTTCCTGCTGGAGGGTCGGCTGGATGGCGCACAACTTAACAACCTGTAGGCCAGAGTAAAACTACCCGCAGGGTTTCCAAAGCTGCCACCTTTCCAGAAGCTGCTTGAATCATCTTGGTTCTGTGGATTCAAGCCACTGACATCTTTGGTTTGTGGTTGTTAGGTGCTACTGAGTCGACTAGGATTCCAATCAGCCCCATTAACAGACTGGACCCTTCCCGTCCTATACCATCTTCACTATCCCCTAAGTTCAAGCCTGTTGTTAGTCATTGTGTCAGCCCAACCTGCTGAAGGTCTTCCCCTCAAGCCACTATACCATTGGGTTCCTCACAAGAGTCCTTAAGACAGACCAGCCACTGTAGATCTGACATGCAGCCTGCCACTCTTCAAGGCTCAGCCCAGGGGAGGACCAAGGTATTTGTGAACAATTAATACTCCACATCCTCCCGACTTCTAAGAGCCACCCAGTGTACCCGTCCACAGTGTGTCTGGAAGACTGTCCTTCCCTTATCTTTCTGAATCATGTTTATGCCACGTGACCAGTTCAAACCCTCATTGAAGATCAGATGAGTCAATAACCAGCCAGGTCTCGGGATGGGTGGCTGGCGGGTTAACCCGACCATGGAGAATGCTCCAGCTGGACCTTCCACATCTACTGACCCACTTCCACCTTGGAGGTATCTCGTGAGTCACCCGAATACTTCCGGGAGGGCCCCAGCCCAGCCCCTCGGCCCTAGTGGTCTCCCTGAAGTAGGCTGATGAAAAGACCTCTCGTGGGACGAAAGGCTGAAGGTAGGTAATGGAGAGAGAACATCCACGGCGGAGTGTTGTCTAGTGTCTGTGTGACCAGGAGAGCCTGCCATTAGCAGCCAGGTGGTTCTGAAGGGCCACTTTGAGGGAAGGACTGAAGGTCACTTGGAGCCAGGCTCAGGTGGGAAATCAAGTGCACCAAGGTCCACCTTGCCCTTCACCCACCCTGCCCTCCGCCCACGCCCAGGACTCAAAGACAAGGCTCATTTATTCTTCTTCTTTTTTTTTGAAAAATATAAAATTTTAATAAAGGCTACATCTCTTAATTACAATAATTATTGTACCAAGTGATTTTTTTTTCCTTAAATGAACTCTTTATAATGCATAATTTACAGTATAAGTAGAACAAAACGCCATGGCAAAAGTCATTGAATACAAGACTTGTAATAAAAAGGCATAAAATAGATTTATACATAAACCCCTTTCAAAAAACAAGGGAAGCTGGAGCCCTCAATATAGGGCGACTCACGGCTCGGGCCACCGTGGAGGTACAGGTGCTGTACTGATTTCCGGCCAAGCACTAGAGACAGTGGATTAATACTCTTGCCGAATGATATATACAGAGGTATAGTACAACGTAACAATGACAAACAGAATGTACAGATTAACTTAACACAAAAAACTCGACCGTCTCAAGAAAGGTGTTTGTGGCGGGGTTAGGGTGCTGCTAGGCCTGCTGCCATTGGCTCACTTCTCCTGCAGGGGAGGGGGGCCTAGTTTCCTGAATAGCTGTGGTCCAAAGACGAATTTGCAAACAACAGGCATTTCAATAAAAGCACAAGTTGAACCACAAGGTGGTGGTGACTCCAGTAGACCTCTGGTCTGGGGTCCGGAGCCAGAGCTTCAAGACGTGACACTGTAAGGTGTCACCAGTTAAGTCCCCTCCACCTCCACCCAGATGGCAAATCTCGTCAAATATGGCCTCTCCCAACGGCGCCGATGACACATCATCATCATCATCATCATCAAATTCGCAAGACCTTTAAGACAAAACAGAGCAATATAGAAGAAATATGCACCAATTTCTCTGTGTGTGAAGGGGAGGGCACCATTTTTATTTTTTAAAGAAAAGTCTTATCTTCATTTGGAGAAAAGAGGGGGCAAGCATCGTCTCTCCTTGAATTCTGCAAGCATTTACGCATCCCTAGCAAACCCTCGGTGTAGACAAAACGACTCAAACTTCTTCCCCTTTTGTGTTTTAAGCAGCATAAACTGGGGGTGGGGGCAGGGGAATCAATTGTTCAATAAATATCAGTAAGAATTCCTGTTCACGTAAGCTATACACAGTTCCTCTTAGTTTATGGATTTCAGATCCCTAGGAAGTCATATATTATGTATGGAAGTCTTTCAAATAACAGTCCGCATCTGTAATAGCCAAGAGTGGTCATGTTTTTAATAAATAGTTCAGGCTTCTCTTATCTCAGTACCCAGCTCGTGAATAATGAAAAACAACCTCCTCCCCCCCACCAACCACCCCCCACCCTCCCAAAGGCCCTGTGGCCAATGCTTCTCCCAGATTTTGTCTTCTTCATTGGTGGGATTTTCCTTCAAAGTGTTTTGTTGCTGTTGCTCATGTCCCAGGCGGGGCACGCGGCTCCAGTTGGGTTTGGCGGCTGCCCGGAGCCGGAGCCGCAGGGTTTAATCGATCCTCTCCACCTTTCCCAGGATCCTTCCTTCATACATGGGGAGCACCGTGTCGTCATCCCACACTTCCTCAAACACCGCTCCGCAGGCAAACTCGTCGCTGGCTTTTTTGAAGTAATACCTGAGAGAAAAACAAAACACAAACACAAACACCATGAGGGCTTCTTCTGGATAATGCCAGAGAGTGCTGCACTGTTTAGAAGACAAGATGCCACCACGGAAGACTGAGACGCTGTAAGCACTGGCCGTGGTGGCCCAGGTAGGCGCAGGTGTGAACCGCTGGCCACACAGGTAAAGACAACCACTGGACCAGTGGCATGAACAGGACAGTCCTGGGAGCTGAGGAAACGGTGGGGCCATCACAGATCCGCCGCCTGCAGCCCCCAGCCTGGGGTCTCCACTGTCCCCTGATGCACACACATCGTAGAGTGGATGGGGATTACACTGCAGGAAGGAGCCCGTGTGGCACAATGGCTAAGCACCTGGCTGCTGACTGAGAGATTGGAGGTTCAAATCCACCTAGGGCTCTTGGGGATAAAGAACTGGTAATCTGCTTCTATAAAGATCACAGCCTAGGAAGACCTGTGGGGCAGGCAGTTCTAGAACGAATTCTACTCGGTCCCCAACATGAGGATGGGACAGAAAAGGTATAGCTCCAGTTTACTTGCAGCAGCCAGGAGAGGGAGACCCTCACAGGGACCCCAGACAGGGTGCATCGGTCTCATTTCCCCCCCCCCCCCAAATCCTAGCTCTCCCTAATGTCTCCAACATAACGGTGGAGTGGGCTGCCTTCTCAGGCCACGGGCCAGGCCAGGCCAGCCCAGGACTGAGTAGAGAGCCCCAGCCCCAGCCCCACATTCACCCTTTCTCCCAGTTCTGCCTCTCCCATCCTCCCACTTCAGGGTCAGACACCCAGGGTCCTGGATAAAGGGTTCCAACCATCCCACCCCAGTGCCTTTTCTCCTCACGCTGTTTCACTGCATGGGCATAACTGACCGTCCCTTTGGGAAAGGCATAACTGTAAACTGCTATCCTAATGTCACAGTACACAGCGAATTGGGCTGCTAACAACCAAAAGGTTACTGGTTCAAATCTACTGGGCACCCCTTGGGAGAAAAATGGGCAGTCTCTGTCCCATACAGATTTACAGTGCCAGGAACTTGACGGAGGGCTGGTAGGCGTCAGAACCGGCTCTACAGCAGTGAGTTTCGTGTGGTTTTGATCTCTGGGCCTCCCCCAAAGCAATGAAGCTCCTTCTTTCCCTGCCCCTAGCGAGGGAGGTTCTTCAGGTGGGTTAAACTCAAGTTGAAGGACCACTCACAGGCCCAAGCCCCCCATTCCCTCCCCTCAGAGAGGCAAGAATGTCTCTCAAAATTTAATTGTCTCAGGGTTAGACTTTTTGTTTTGTCTTTTAAAAAAAAATTCCTCTTGGTTAAAGCAAAATTTTTCCCCTCCCTAATGAAAGGAAGCCAAATACTTTCATAGGAGATAAGGCAAAAACAGGCAGAGCAGCTGGGCTTCGTCAAGGGGCTTTTGTTTTCCGCATTCCCGGGTGAAGGAAAGGGCCCAGGCAGACACCAGAGTTAGTGAAGAAAACATTTCCTATGCAGGGATTCAAGGTGCTTGGAGGTGGCACCTAGGACTGTGTCAAAGAGCCAGTTTCCAACAATTAGGGGCACAAATCCTGTCCCTGACCCAATACCCCTGAGGCCCCAACTCCCCTCTCAGGCTTAACTGATGTGGTCTTTGCCGGTTTCTCGTAGCAAACACGCAATGACCTTTTACATAATTGCAACCTCCTTTCGGAGAGGAATGGGGCAGCATTCCCGGGCTCCACCCCCAAGACTTCAAACGCCCTCATTTTCTCCAAGAAATCTGGCTTTTCCACTGCAACATGCTTTCTGTGGCAAGCTCCACTCCCTTCTGACATCTGGCACCAATAGCGTGTGGCGAGAATGTTCCCTCTCTGTACCTCTGCCATGTTGAGCTGAGTCAATGTAGCCTGGGCTCCCCCCCTCTACCCCGCCCCCCAATCCCAAACCCCCCTGATCCACAGCAAAAGGGTTCTTATGAGGTGAAGGGGGAAGCTGAAATGTCTGAGAACCACCCCGGCTGGAGGGCGAGCCTGGCACCCTGAGGCCCCTAGTCCCCAGGAGGGCCGAGTGTCCAGCTCTGGGCCCCAGAGCAGAGAGCGGGCAGCTGGCGGGACCTCAGCCACAGCCTGATCCAATCAGGGAAGAATCTGAGCGTCTTTGTGTATGAAATGGGAGGCCGGGGCTTCAAAGCCGGGCTTATTAAGTGAGCCTGAAGAAAAAAAAAGAACCCAACAACCCAGAGCCAGATGTGGCCTGGGCTGCTGGGCGAGGGCCGGGCCGTCCTGCCCTCCCTCCCTCTGCTCTGGGTCTCCCGCCCCTCAAGGTCACCTGCACTTCTGCACGGCACAGTTGCGTCAGAGCTGAGGGCAGAAGGAAGCCCTGGAGGGGCACGGAGGAGGGTGGGGGGCGGGAATGGGTGTCACTTTGAGGCTGCTCTAGGTAAGATGCAGCAGCCAGGGCAGTTCTGGTGCCTTTGACAGAAGCTCCACCCAGGTGTGAACTGTGAATGGCACAGATCGCAAGGGCTGCCTGACAAGCTAGTGGAGGGGCCTTGTTGGGTGTTTCAGGACCAGACTGACCCCAAGGGCACAGGAGGTGGGGTCCTGGGGTCCTGCAGGTGAGCCTACCTGCCTGAGGTAGTCGGGAATTTTCCACTCACACTTCTGGCCCCAGAGGATCCATCTTTTTGGGGGGCCTGCAGTGTGGTTCTGCACAGGTCAGATCAGGAGGTGGGGGGGCAGCAGGGAGCCCCGGGAACTGTTTAAAGGGGTCCCTGGTCTCAGGTGCAGACCTTTAGAGGAACCTGAGAGAGTTACCTTCAATTGTCGACCCCGGGCATGCACTAGGACCCTGGGGACCACCAAGGGTTTGCACTCCACCTCCACCCAGAAGCCCCATCAAAAGAGGCCTGGCAATCCATTCTGTGAAGATGGGTCACGAAAACCCCAGGAGCAGTTCTACTCTGTGACCCACAGAGTCCCTGACTCAGAACGAACCCACAGATAGGGCTCCCCGGTTTTTCATCTGAACACACTCCTGGCTACACTCTGGGCCCAGCCCTGCAACCCTGAGAGCAATGGACAGAATCCATGTTTTCCCACAGGGTGACAGCCAGGGAGAAAGGGCAGGTGGGATCTTGGAACTGCGATGTAACAACCACGTGTCCCTCAGCAAGGGGAAAGGAGGAGAAATGGTGAGGCCTGGGCCTCCCCGGGCCACCTCCTCTCTCCTGCCCTACAGATTGGGGAAGGGACAGAGTCTGTAGTTTGTAGGAGAGGGAAGGAGCCCCCCATCGTGGCCCCAGCAGGAAGGAGAAGGCAATGGGGTCCAGGCTGAGCAATGTAGCATCCACCTGGTGGAAAAGTCTAGGCCCCGGGCCCCATAGGACCCCACCCTTCCCAGCAGCCTCCCTGTCTCTGCCAACAGGGAGGGAGAGATGAAATGAGGGAAAGCCCAAGAGCCCAGTCCTCCCCATGCTGGCCCTGCCTCCCCTTGCTCAAGGCCACTCCAAGTCCAATCTGGTCACAGGAGCTGGTTCTGTGTTCCTGGGCTGTAGGTCCTGAGCAGACAGACTCTGGGAAGAGAGAAGCCACACGCTCTTACCTATAATTTCCCTTTTTGCTGAGCTGCTCTTTGAAGTGGCCCAGGGTCAAGCTCTGGGCCTTCAGCAACCTCCGGTACGGGATTTCTTCTCCACAGAAAAAGTAAGTGACAACCAGCTCACTGGCCTGGAGCGGGTGGACACCCGCCAGCTTCTTTGGCTCTTTGTGACTGGAAATGAGAGGACAAGCGACAAGCTCAGTGTTTTCAAACTGAGAGCAAGTGGCAAGTGTGTGCATGCACACCACACACACACACACACACACACACACACACACACACAGTCGGCAGTCGGGGATCCAGACACGGTGGCCAGAGAGAACCAGAGGCAGCCATACCTACGCCACACGCCATGGTTCCATCTGGTACAAGTGACACTGTTCCTTCACTATCACCCAGTGGGGGCTCGCACACTCTCTCAGGTCGGCCCAAATGGGGACCCACCACCACAGAGAAAAATGCAGGAAAAGCCCAGAACACCGCCCAGGACCCAAGAACTCAGAACACCCAGCCCTCCCTGGGGTTTAGTTCAGCCATTTCCACTTCCCTATTTGTTCACATTTTTTTCTAGAGTGGCTTAAAAAAAAAAAAAAAAGCTGATGCCCAAGACAGCTGGTCGACCTAAGGTCAAGCAATTAAAATGAAAGGGTCCAGGGAGATGACTTAGTCAGTACTTCAAACATTGTTCACTGCTCAAGATGAAGAGGCCAAGGGAGAAAACTTTAATTATTTAGACCATTTTAGATCTCTCTTGCAGATTTCTGTTTAAATGCACCATCCTGTAATTAAAACGAAGAAGCCATTCTTCTGAGCCAGAGAAGCCAGGTGATGTGGGAAGCTGTTACAACTTCTCCAAGAGGACATGGCCTCTCCCTGCCCTGAGGGTGAGACGTGCCTTCCTCCTTCCTCTTCCTTTGTGCCCACCTGCTGCGGGCCTCACAGGAGTCTAAAGACAAGAATGTGCCCAGGAACCCTCAGCCCAGGCCCACAGAGTGCGAAGAACCAGATGTTCTGTCCCCTGCTCAGGAAAGTCAGGGGAGGACACTCACTCTTCTGGAGCCAGGCTTGTTGTGGAGAAGGGCGTGGCTCCGGCCTGACCGGCAGCTGAGTGGCTTCTGTCCCTCTGCTGACCAGCTGCACAGCACCTGAAGACACAGCCAGAGGAGAGGTCTAGTGGTCCCCGAGAGGCAATTGGGGAGCAGACAGAAATAGCTCTTTCTGGGGTCCTGAAGACACACAAGCTTGATATTCAACCTTGGTGGGGACTCCAGGATGGCCTTGTGTTAATAACATGGGAGCAGCAGGCCTGGAGAAGCCCTGGGATGCAAGAGTTAAAGGTTCAACTCCTCTCCCACCCAGAGGCTCTGCAGGACGAAGGCCTGTCATTCTAGCGTAGGAAACCCTATGTGGCTCTTCTACTCTGTCTAGGGGGTCCATGTGAGCCTTGACTTGATGGCACCCAACAACAGGAGGCCTGAAAGACATCTTGGAAAAGACACTCCCAGTCCAGACCAAGGGTGGCTTCTTCCCAGACACATCTAACTTCCTTTAGATAACAGGGAAAGGAAGAAAACTTGGGTCAGGAATTGGGGAACCTTGTTCTTCCATTACTCGGCATGACCTGTTTGAACAGACCCTGGCTTACTCCAATGGAATGGGTGCCATCTCTAGAGGGTCCTTCCCATCAGGAGTCGTCTCCAGGTAATGTACATGGTTAATGTACTTGGGCATAAACAAGTTCAAGTCCACCCACAGGCATCTTGGAAGAAAGGCCTGGCGGTCTACTTCCAGAACACTGGACACTAGAGGACTATGTGGCTGTAGATTCCATTTGATGACAACCAGTCTGGTTCCATTAAGAAGAGTAAGTCGAGTGTCCACCTCCAAACCCAACTACCACCTTAACATGTCAAGTGACACCTGGACCATTCCCCATGCACCTACCGATGTTTTGGGGGCTTTGAGACCTCAGTCAGCCTGCGGCAGGCCTCCTCCAGCTGTGCCAGGGTGTTGGGTGGGGTCAGGGAAGGCATAGCAGGGTCCTGGGTGAACAGGTGGGCCCGGGCGATGATTCGGGGGTTCCCACCAGCAGACCCCCACAGGTGATGGCGGCCAGCTCGCTCCGGGGGAGCTCCTCGGGCGGCCTCTCCGGGGAAGGTCTTCTTTGCGCTCTGAGCACTAAGCAAGGAATTGAGAGAGAAAAAGCAGGAGGAAGGTTAGCAAGCCTAGGAAACGTGAGCTTGATGGGAAGTTCTCTATTCTGCTCTGAGAGAGAGGGAGGTCAGGTCTGCTGTCACACAGACAAGGACTGTTGCTAAAACATGATATTTTTGTGGTCCACTCAACCCAACATCTAATACTGCTTCCAGGAGCAGTCACATTTGTTTTCCGCTGGTTGCAGAAATAGCCACCTCGGGACACCTCAGGATTGACCATGGGGACCCTGGGGGGGGGGGGCAGGGGGGCGGATGTGTTTACCTGTGGGGCTTGGCCTTGTTCTGCTGCTCGCTCTCCATCATCCACTGCCACACATCCTGCGACCTGTCGCCTTCCTCCCCTGGGAGCTGCGGCACCCCAGCTCCACCTGGGGCCCCCCCTTCCCTGGCGGGCAGTACCAGGCCTGGCTCTGGGCCCCTTCCGTTCCGCTTGGGCAGGGTGCTGCTGCCTCTGCTGCCACTGTGGGGGAGCGAGAACCACGCAGACTCACAGACCTGTTCCATGTCGGGTCTCCCTCTGCCAGTGGGACACCTGGGGTTGACCTGCTGCCTGTCACCCTGCACCCACCCCACGCCTGTGCTGGGAAAAGCTGAAATGGGGTCCCTGGGACTGCTGACACTCACCCAAAGGTCTCTCCAGGCAGGGGCTCCAGCCCCTTGGGGTGGTTCCTGCACTTGGCGTAGCAGTAATACTCGGCACCCCCAGAGCAGATACAGCGTACCCTCTGGGTGGCCTCGGCCTCGATCTGCTCCTTGGTCTTGGGCCCCGTGTGGTGGTGGATGTAGTGGTGGTGGACGTGCTTCGTCATCTGCTTGGCCACCAAGCCCTTGACCCCCAGCAAGGGGCAGCTGGCCATCACAGCCCCGGCCACGGAGGGGGGCAGCTTGCTGGCCAGCGGGGGCAGGGAGTGATGCTGGTGGTGGTGGAGGAGGTGGTCGGGGGAGCGGGCGCGGGGGCTGTAGCGGCCCACGCCTGGCGACTGGCAGCCGGGGGTCTTGAGGACCCTGGACAGGTGGTCATCGAGGATGGTCTGCGGGTCCTCCTCGTAGCTGCCGGAGGGCAGGAGGGAGAGGGGGTGCGGCGGCGCGCCCCCTTCCCGGGAACTCAGCGCCACCTCGGAGCCCTCCTTCTCTTCATCCTGGAGGCGCAAGAGAGGACGGTGAGTGGGGCACGTGAGGGATCCCCCCCCAGCGCCGCCGGAGGGGGGGGGTCATGCACCCTGCGCATGCGCGTCCCCCCTCTACCTCGCGGATCTGCTGCAGCCGCTGGTCCAGGCTGTGCCGACTGTCCTGCTCCAGCTTCAGCTTCTCCAGCCGAGCGATGAGCTCCGCCGCGAAGGTGGCGGGCTCCACGGGCGTCATCTCCTTGGGCAGGCGGTGGGTTCTCTAGGGGGCCGGGGACAAGCGGGTGAGGGCCCGGTGGGGACGGGGGTGGTGGCCGGCGGTGGCCGCGGCCCCGTGCGCTCCGCTGCCAGGCTGGCGGCGGCCGGGCTGCGCGCGGTTTTATGCGGCGGCACCGCGGCCTCATGGCGCGCCATGGCCTCCGCCAGCGTTTGCCTTGGGCAGGAGCAGTTGGTCGCACTCCGAGAGGCCCGGCTTGTTCTCTCTGTAGTACAACCAGCCCATCAGTAGCTACTCTGAAGACGAAAATCTTCAAAGACTGTTGTCAAACATCAAAAAAAAAAAAAAAAAAAAAGCAGCCTTCGGAGGTGGGGAGGGGGGCGAGGGACCGACTCAAGGAAGAGAAAGTCTAAACAGAAAGGGAGTTGGACATTTTTTCTTTTTTTAAAAAAAATCAGATTGGAAGGGAGGTAGGGGGCAGGAAAAAGGAATGAAAAAATAAAATAAAAAAAAAGAGCTGGCCGGCCGGGATCAGAGGAGAAGTGGTAATTTATTTCCTGGCTGCACACTGCGCACCTTTGAGGTGGTGTTGTCTCTGCACCGGCCCCGGCTCTGCGCGCCTCTCCTCCACCCCCTCCCGTCTCTTTGTACAGAAAATGAAGAAAGCCGCTGCAGGCTAGGAGCAGAACACTGCTGAGCTTGGCGGCCTGAAACCCATCTATCAAGGGAAAAGGGAACATCTCCGAATCAAGTGCGGAATATAAAAAGGCACCGGGCACTGCCTGCCAAAAGCTGCGCACAGAGGACCCCCGCGGCCCGCCTCACGCGCCTTCCCCTCTCATCTCCAGGCTCCCCCAGCCTCAGCTGCCTGACCCCCTTCCTCCTCGATTCCCTCTCTCGCTTGGCCCTGATCTTAGGGGTGGGCAAGGCCAACCTGCAAAGGCCACCCCCAGCTATCCGAGCCAGCCGGGCTTGTCATGACCACTGCTTGGTGGCAGCAGTATGCGAAGGGCCATGGGGGTGGGTGGCTCTGTAGGACAGGGCCCAGCTGCAGCGGGACAGAGCCCATCAAAGGACTGCCTCGAGGAGCGAGTCGATTTGCACACCACAGGACAAAATCATCTAATTTACAAGTTTGGGCAATAGGATTTTTCTTTCTAAACACACACACACACACCCTAGTCCACGTAAACCAACTACAAGTCTGTCAACAAAAATGGTGCATTTGGGGTTTCACTGGGGGAGGCTGCCTGAGCCTCCCAGTAAAAGACACCTGAGTTTTTACAATTCAAAAAGAGGGGAAAGGGTGGGTAAGTCTGTCCTTGTCTGTTCAAGGACCTTCCAAAGAGGACTTACACTCACATGCTAATGCCACCAACTTAGTGATTCAATGTGTTACTTTTCTAAGTGCTGGCAGATAGGATTCATAAGCAGGTGGGCAGACTCCCTGGGAGGTCTCCCCCCCATCTAAACAGCACTTCCCTACACCCTGGACCAGAAGAAATTGCAAAGGGTAGAGAGCTCTGAGATGGGACTTACATGGGAGGCTCATGGGCACAGGGGCCAAGGGCGTTCAAGGACAGAGAGACACAAGGGGACAGCCAAGCTAAGTCCTCCCTATAAACCTGTATCTACTCCACAGGCAGAGACGGCTCAGTGACCCTCACATCCTGACCCTTCTCTCATTCAGAGCGTAATGGGCACAGATTCAAGGTCCTAGCTAAGTTCTGGGGTTGGAACCACAGGATGTAACGGCTGGCCTCTAGGGGTCAGCAGAAGTGGTCAGGTAAACTGGTGAGAAGACCCATCGTGCAATAGATACAAGCAGCAGCTGTGCTGGGGCAGGGCTCTCCATCATTCATTCAACAAGTGTTCACTCCCGTGTCAGGCACTGTTTCTATGGATACAGATGCTGAGAAAACAGACAACCCACTGTCCTCACGGGTCCTCCATTCTGGGAAGCTGTGAAGTGAGTAAACCACACTGGAGAGAAGCTGAGAGTCCCCAACATTTTCAGTCTCCAGGAAGACTGAGCTTTCATTTCTTCCTCATAGAAAAATTTTCTCTCCCATTTATTTATTTTTATTATTTTTGTGTGTGTACCGTCAAATCGGATCTGACTGGTATGGGACGATATTGTCCCTCCTTCTCCGGCAGAGCATCTGGTGGATTCAAACCACTCACCTCTGGGATTGCAGTGCGGCTTCTTGCCACTAGGCCACCAGAGCGCACCTTATTATTTTTTTTTTTAAATCAAGGAAACATAAGGTCACATTGAGCCCCTGACAGAGCATCACTTGATTTCATGGTCTGACTGACCACTAACTCCTTTTGTATATTGCTGCTGCCTTTCCCTCTCCCTTAGGGGACTCTCATACAGCTCACCCCTCCCCAATCCTCAACACCCTATTTTCCTCCTGACCCAGCACGGTGCCCCCCCATCACATACTCACCGGGAAATGAGGTAGAGACACTTGGCCATTGGCCTTCACGCTGCGATGCATTTCTCTCTGGAGCTGTTTCTTACTCCCCACGCGGTACGGAGGGATTCCATCTCTGAGGAAAGACAGAGGGACCCCAAAGGCTCATGAGGGATTTGCTTTCTGCATCGGGCTGACACACAAGGCCGCCTGAGTCCCCATCATGGGATGGGCTCTCTAGGTGCCACTGTCCGTCCCACAGGGAAGGATTACTTCAGGCCAAATGTTGACCCATCCGGTTCCCTTGTCCTGATCCTGATCAAAGATCTGGGTTACATTCCCATCAGCCCCAATAGCACAAATCCAAAACTACCTATCAACCAGACCCACTGGCAGTGGTTGCTTCCCACTGATGGTGACCCCAGGTGACCATGGAGGAGAGCAGTGCCCGCTCAACTAGGGGTTTCTTGGTTGTTCTCAGATCACCAGACTTTGTTTACACAGAGTCATGGGGTGGGTCTGAACCACCAACCTCTGGGTGAGTACAAACCATTTTCATTACTCAGGGGCTCAGATTAAAGGCTCCTGTGCAGTTTCCCAGGCAGGGGATCCTGGGAGCCTCTGGGTCTTCCTGACAGTGTGTTCTCACCACTGGTCACAGCCCTCCATGATAAACCAGGGCTGTGCAGTACAGAGGAGCAAAGGCTATAGGGTTCCGGTCAAACTCTGAGAAGGCTGAACCAGACGCAGGGCACACCCATAAAACCAACACAGAGTTGACCTACGTAATATAAAACATGGCCCCATGGCATTTCCCAGGTTGCCATTTTTTTAAGGAAAGAAGCTGCTACATCTTCCTCTTGTGGAGAAAAAAACCACCTATCTCTGTCAGCAGTTAAGTCAGTCACCGTGAGTGGTCTCCAAGCCCCTTCTCTGTGGAAGCTCGCTCACCACCTCCAAGCATCCACCCCTCAGAGATATCTATCTTCCCCCACCATGTACACGCCCCACAATTCACTCATGTCGTGCTTTGAGGGCCTAGTGAGTACCACACCCTGCAAGAGGAAAGGGTCAGAGTGCAGTGAGCAAACGGGGAAGGGCAAAGGGCACCCCTCAAGACATTTACACTCTATTTTTTTTAAATTTATTATTTTTGTGTATACCGTCAAATGAGATCTGACTGGTACAGGAGGAGATTGTCCCTCTTTCTCCAGCAGAGCATCTGGTATATTCGAACTGTGCACCTCTGGGATTGCAGTGCAGCTTCCTGCCACTAGGCCACCAGAGCTCATCGACACTTACACTCTAAGGGGCAACACTTAAAATGTTATGTGGCGTTACTCGACTTCTTAGTGACCCCATGTACAACGGCTCTGAACCCTGCTCTATCCTGAGCCAACCTCATTGTCTCTGACACACTCAAACCCCCCCCCCCATTACCCTAGTCACTGAGTCAATCCATCTCATCAAGGGTCTTCCTCACTTACAATAACAGTAATAATAACAACAGTAATAATAAGAACAATAATAATAATAATAAAAATAATAATAATAAAAACCAACCCAAACACACACCAGCGCATCTTCTGTCGTTAATTGTTTGGTATCATCGAGTTAATTGCCACTCAGAATGATCAAGCAGAAGTGCCTCACAGGGTTTTCTGGGCTGTAATCTGGTGGTTTAGTGGAATGGAATTGAGCTGCCAACGCGAAGGTGTGTGGTTTGAATCTACCAGCTGCTCTGTGCATGAAAGACGGGCCATCAACTCTCCCGTGATTCGCTGCCTCGGAAAACCCGCTGGAGGGTCGGCTGTGGGTCCGTTCCAGCTCGATGGTACCCAACAACAACAGTCTTGACAGTAGTCATAGTTCTTCTGAGCCACCGGATGGGTTCCCACCACTAATCTTGACGAGAGCAACTGAGGGCTTAACCGTCAGAGACACTTGGGTTCCTTATTGTATGTTAACACAATTTTAAAGCCCACAGCCGTGGGGTTCACTCCGGATTGTGAGGGCCCTCCACAGGGTTTCGTCTTTATGGAAGGCGACGGCCCATCCTTCTCCCAGAACAGTAGGTGATGGATTCAAACCACCAACCTTTCAGTTAGCTGTCCAATGCATTAAAGCATTGTGCACGATGCCACCAAGGGGTCTACTGTTTATTAGAAGGTAGTACTAAGGGCTTGTGGAAAAATACAGCAGGAAATGGGGAGGGGGGACCAAATGGAAGGTGGCGTCAGGCGGTGGTCAGCAAAGTCCTTGCAAGGTGACATTAGAGCAGAGGCCTGAGGGAAGCATGGGCTCCTTATGTCCATCTTCATTATGAAAAAGAATAATTTATTAATAGCAACTACAAGAGGCCACCACCTTTACTAAAAACAGGTCCAGGAGCTGACGGGATATTTTTTTAACTTTATTAAGTCAGATGATCAATGGTGACTATTTCTCATCCATGCCCATTCCGGAGGCCACTTATTTACAAACCCTTGGAGTTCCAAGAACCATCATGGCCACAGTGCATGTATGAGTCATCCTCGGAGGCTGTAAATATTGAAATTAGGTGTCTGGCTATTCCTGTCCGAGGATTTCGACTCATCACAGAGTGGAGGTCGCATGGGAAACAGAGTGGGAGAAAGGAAAAAATATCTCTGGTTCTGCAACAGCAAATGAAAAACAGCAGTGCCTAAAAATACCTGGAAAGCAACCAGGGGCAACTGGTTGACCCCTGACTGGTTATCTACAATGCTCTAGGATTCTAAATGACTGCGATTTCCAGAAGTCGGCTGTCCTAGTCCAGACAAGAGGACCACAGTGGGGAGAGTATCACAGTAGATCAACCAGTAGCCAAATCTTGACTAAGAAGCACAGAATGATGTTATTAGTGAAAGGTGCTGTGAGCAGGGCAGGTCAAGGTCTAAAGCAAGAACTTGTATATGAAGCACAAGGCACCAATCGGAGAGGTCACAGCAGTGAGTAGAGACAGTATTGTATGAAGAGGGCTCAAGGTTGATCAGTTGGCAGAAGATACAACTCTCCCCATCAGGCTTCTGGCCAGAAAGCTCTGTCTTGAATATACAATAGGATGACAGGTTCTAAGTCCTGGCAATTTGATGAGCCACAGAAAGTTTATTTATGAGAACTCAGCATATCCATCTTGGGATGATTTCTCCCCAGGGGACAAAAGGCCCTCCTCGGCTCTCAGAAGCAAACCCCAGAGAGAAGAAGGATTCCAGCGGAGGCCACAGTTCTCAGTGAGCGCAGGAGCTGCATAATCCTATGTAATTCTCTCAGGTACTCTAATCAACCGCAATTTAAAATGCCCAGAGACGCAGGTTGACTTGTCTCAAGTCACAGTCCCCAGCAATTAGATCCAGGGCTCCAATCCAAGCCACAGCTGGCCGGCCTCCAGAACGGCTCTCTTCATCAACCACTTGTACTAAGGATCTCCATCTCAAAATGCCAGCCGTGTACCATGACACTTCCTAGTCCAGCAAAAGCCAGGCTTCCTGCTGAACTTGGGGTACCATGTCCCAAGCCTCAAGGATACACTCTAAAGCGATAAATGGGGAGGATGGTTCTGGAAATCATTACCATCACCACAACTCAACACTCTGGTTATAGGGTGGGCCACATGGTTCCCAAGATGCAATGGCTATCTCTGACCTGATCCTGTGTGGGGCACCACAGACTGGGTTCTCAAGGAGTCCTAACTAAATCGAGCTGCTCCAAGACTAGACCACACATCCCCTTCTCCTGGCTTGATGAGAATGCAGAGCTCAACTTCGAGGCCTCATTCCAACAACCCTGGGGGACAGGAGTCAGGCACCCACCCAGTGGACCTCATCATGAAGCAGGCAGGGCTCCAAGTATCCCAGAAGGGTTCACCTCCAGCCCCTCCCAGACATCCTCCTGAAATCCTGCCAGCAGCCTGGATGCTTCACCTTCCTCTTCTCCTAAAGGGACACTCAACATCTAGCAGGTCATTGCCAGACGGATAACCGGAAGTGGTTCTTCCACCACCTCCTGACACCACGGCAGGTGAAGAGGCAACCCCAGGGAACCTGTCACAGAGCAGACCTCAAGCAGAACCCCAAAAGGCTGCAGAGCTGCATTCCAGGGAACATTCCCCCAAGAGAAGAACCTACATCCCAAAGAGCCCCTCGTTCCAGAGCAGGGCTCCTCAGCTTTGACTCCGGCCCTGGGCGTCCACGACCAGTTTCTTGGCTGCTTGATACTGAGGACTGAACTGCACCAGTGTCCCTGTCCCTCCATAGTCTCCATTAATCACGCCCAAAGCTGCCTAGTTTTCAAGGAACTCCAGTTAGCCTCCCTTTAAGCCAAACCAATTAGCTTAGCCTTTGGATTCTTCAGGGCCCAGGCAAATGTGGGTGAGTGCCATTTGCTGGTGGCTGTGAAGGTGCAGACCACGCACACACGCGGCCACCAGCACTGTCATGTCACCACCACTCAAGGCAGCCTCAGATCATATCAAGAGCTCAGTGTGTAAGACCAGGTCCCATTTGAGGCAGTGTAGGCAACATTCCCACCAAACTCAAAACTCTTTGCCTTTGCTTTCTCAAATAGTTACAAATAGAGATACCATTTGACCCAGCAATTCCACTACTGGGAATATACACCAAAGAGACCATAACTGACATCCGTGCAGATATATGCACACCCATGTTTATCGCGGCTTTGTTCACGATAGCAAGGAGTTGGAAACAACCTAAGTGCCCATCAACTAACGAATGGATAGAGAAGTTGTGGTATATTCACACAATGGAATACTACGCTGCACTGAAAAACAAGGAATTCATTCAATATTATTCAAAATGGGTGATCCTGGAGGACATTATGCTAAGTGAAGTATCTCAGTCACAAAGGGACAAGTACTGCATACTGCCACTGTTGTAAAACAGGACTGCATCGGGGTTGGGGGAGGAGACTGAGAAAGATGGGTTCAATAATATATACTGCATTGAAACAGATGAGGGAGAAAACTGTTTAAAAGGGACATGTGACTGGGTATTTTTGTCATGACGGTAGTCCAGAGCGAAGGCTGCACAGTGGAGTGGACTTGGGGGGAGGGATGTAAAACTATGAAAGAATTTTTCTTTTACTTTTCCAAGAGGGTAG